AAAGTGACCGGTATCCCCGGGCTGTCACCCAACATCTATTTCTAATCTTCCTCCTGATCTCCCACAGGCAAGTCCAGACGCAAAGCCCACATGGTTGAAACAGAACAGGTTGTTACCAGAGTGAGAGATGATACAGAGAAGCCACCCACTGGAACTGGGGGAAGAGTGACAGGACAAAAAGCAGACAGAAATTAAGGGTTAACTTACCCAAGACTGATGCCCCTCCAGGTTGGCCTCCCAGAAAAGAGATTGGCCTTCTGTGGGGCTCCACAGAGACCCGCTAGTCCTTAGTGCTAAATCCATTAGTTTGGGCAAAAGCAAAGTTTGGACCCAGGTTCTAAATCATTGGAAGGAGCAGCGGAAAAGGTTCTGGTATTTGCTCAACTATAAATGCTGATGTGATCAACACTGCTCTAGTTTACCAGCCCCCAATAAAGCTGCAAGGCTAGGACCCCAGTCCCTTGATCGTGTCAGGGAAGGGGCTGGGGCTGCACCCAACCACTAATGCCAACCTAGCAGGAAAGGTCTGAAGTTAAGATTCTGCCACATTGTCGTGTTATTATTGCCCTGGCCCTGGATCATACCAAGGGAGGAGCAGGTGCTTCCCTAATCCTGTCTTTTAAAAAGCCCTCTCTCTCCCAGGGTCTGACATCTGGCTCTGCTAGACCTCTGAATGGGCATATCTCCTATTGATCCAGTGTCTGAGAGCTTTCTCCAGTGCTCCACAGACACGGTGTGAAAGCTCTTTGCCCATTTGTCCTGTTTGCATGAAAAAATCCTTACAAATAGGTCACAATACTGACTGAAGATATAGCCACTGATTTGCTACAAGTGTTTGTCATCCATGACTACTCCATGTCTGCCATCCCCAGTTATGGTCAAAATATCTGACCTGAGGAATGAGACTGCCAGCCCTTGAGTCCGTGGAAGCCAGGCCACAATGTACATGAGAGCCCCATCTTTAGCGGCATTGCAAATTAGAACCTGTCTACTGTGCTTGACTCTGGCCAGGGGGCTCTGGGTGAGGGTCTGGTCCCATATGTGCCAGTGGGCTGAACACTGGCCCTGACTGCACTCAGGTGTCCAGTCCCCATGACTATGGCTTCTGCTCAAGTTCATTTGCGTTATGGTTCCCTGAGGGTGCTGGAGCCATGCCCTGGACTACAGCCTGCTCGGTTGGGCCCCGACAACCCGCCTTTCGCCATCTGCCGGCTGGTAGCCTGCTTTAACCTGAATGGGCACCCCTGGAACCAGGATGCTGCCACCTGGCCCTGAGCACAGCTGCCGCCTAGCTGTTGCTGTGGGGCCTCCATCAGCCTGTCCAGACCAATCAGATCAGATAGGCGGAAGCCACAGCACCATCACCTCAGGGGGAACCCTCCGACCAGGTGAGTTCCCAGCCACTCTAGCCACGTGTTCTTGATAGTTCTAGTTTACCCTCCTCATGAAAATTCTAGCCCAGATTATAAAAGCTACACAGATAATTTTCACCACTGCTACGTACATTATACACTCAAAGGCAATCTCCAGAATTTTCATCAATACCCACTCAGTCACTATCCATCAGGCAATAAAGGCGTGGTTCTCAGGGCCAATGAGCTGCTTAAGGCCTTAGAAAAATAATTTAGATCTGACAAAAAAAAGGAAGTTGCAAAAGGAAACAACACAACCTAAAAATAGTTTCATAGTCAAAACATTCTATTTACAATGGAATAAGGGTGCATTTATTATGCTATGTGGTGGGACATCTAAATGTGAGCAAGCCAAGGAGCTGCTCTTATGGCAGCCCCACCCTGATCACGCCTCCCAAACTTATCCTCACTCTCAGCCATGAAAATGATCCCGGCAACCGCGGTGCCGTGGTTACTAATCAGAAGATTACTAGGCACTCCGATATTTGTTGAGAGAGTAAGTAGATGAATGGGTGAATGAATGAATGAAGCAATGAATACATTCTCCAATAGAAATACATTGAGAGAGATTTTTTAAAAATCAGAACAAAGAAATCAAGAGTTGTTGTTTAATAGGTATTGACTTTCAATTTTGCAAGATGAAAAAGTTCTGAAGGCTGGCTGTACAACAGTGTGAATATACTCAACACCACTGGACTGTACACTTAGAAACAATTAGGATGGAAAATTTTGTTATATAGCTTTTTACCACAATAAATTTTTTTAAGAAATCAAACCAAATATTAAAAATCAGAAATAAAATTTTGAGAAAAATTCAGAATATACTTATTGATAGGTATCTGAATCTTACTGGGACCACTCTTCTAAATTTTCATCAGTGTAGCCCTGACTTCTTCAACCCTTATTTTCTGATATGATTTCTTTTGTGACTTCTGTTTTGGGACTAGTAATTGACAGTTTGATTATCTGATTTGTTATTATAAGTGACAGAATTTGATGGCTTCAATTATAAAAACAACACAAAAAGCAATTTTTTTTATTTAGTTGGGGGGGGGGGTGTTCCCATAGTAGAGAGCAAAAAGTGCTAACTTATATTTTAGCATATAATTTTCAGGAATTTTTAGAATTAGCTCATCATAAAAGTAAAGCAATTCTTTGTTTGCATAGAGCAGGAGCTACTAGAGCAGGCTCTGAAGCCAGTTGACTAGTTAATACCAGCTCCACCATTAACCAGCTTTACCTCTTAGTGCCACAGTTTCCTCATCCTCAAAATGCAGATACTTTTTAAAAGCTTAAAGAAGTATTTATCTCACCTGTGAAATGGGAATAGTAATTTTTAAAAGCTTAAGCAAAAATTTCACTTTGAATTTTGCTTTATTTAAGCAAGAACTTATCCCATTTTTACAAATTGAAAAACAAAACTCTACTTTTAACAGTAGGTTAAAAGTTAATAAAACCCCTCAAATTATAGTAGGTAATATCTCTTTAGTATATAATTTTATAATCATCTATGATCCCCACATTCAAATATAACTACTGTTAACATGGTGTGTGGTACATACTGAATATAATCATATTTTACATTGTGTTTGTGTCTTAATGTATCATGGGCATTTTCTCAAATCAATGCATATTTGGGGTTTCCTATCAATTTAGAATAAAATCTAAAGTCCTCACCTTGTCCTAAAAGAGCCAATGCGATCTCGAGTCTCCTAGTTAACCTTAGCTCCTCTCCTTCCACTTCCTACCTTACTCACTGAGCTCCAGACACACTGGCCTTCTTGCTGTTCTTTGGGCATGCTCAGCACGCACTTGCCTCAGGGCCTTTGCACGTACAGTATTCGCTCTGTAGAACCCTTTCCTCCAGATTTTCACAAAGCTCACTCCCACACTTCATTCATGTCTCACCTTCTAACAGGTGAACATCTTATATAAAGTAGCAAAGTCTATCCCTGAAAAGTAAGTAATAGTTTTCATCATATTATTTACCACTACTTGATATATTATTAGTGGTTAAGGCCTGTTTTTCTAAGTAGAATGTAAGTGCCATGAGGCCAAGGATTTGTCTGTCTTGTTTACTGTTCATGCCCTGGCACTAGGTTCTAAACAAATATTTATTGAATGAACAAATGAATGGATTTTGCTATAATTTGTAATTCCATGACTGCACAGGACTCTGTTGCAAAGATGTTGCATAATATATTTAACTAGTAAAACCTATTTTGAGATATTATAAACCATACTGCAATGGGCATGCTTAAATACATTCTCTTAAATACTTTTTGATGGTTCCTGAGGAGCTAAGTTAGGGCAGCTGCTTCCTAACCATCCCCCCCTTCAGTTTTTCTTCCTCTCACAGGCGGCGTCCCAGCCAGGCTTCCATGACATCACACTCCCTTCCTTACCCTGAAGGTGCAGAAGCCTGAGCCCAAACTCTGCATGCTAGCCTGTCCCTATTTTGCCTTTGCACACCTAGGTCCCATCACTACTCAGAAATACATTTTCCACTTTCAACAATCTGCTCCTCCTATCAGAGTCTCCAATCCTTTCGTGTACGTAGTTCCCTCTCACAGGCTATACACCCGTTTCTCTACCTGCCTGAATTGTACCCATGTCCAGTCCCTACCCGTCCCTACTGATGCCATCACGCCTTCCTGGAATCTATTCCATATGAACTCTCGCTTCTCTGAATTTTTTAACTTTTCTGCTTTTTCCTGTGCCCATCATTGGAGATGGCCCTGCCCACCCGCAGCATCTACCATGCTGCAGGTTACAATTTCCTGAATCACAAAACCCCTTTCTTCCCGCTGCTTGAAGTCCTATACCGTCCTAACCACAAAACAATAACTATTTTCCAACTTGTTTTGGCCAAGTCAAAACTTTTGTGGAAATTGAGATAACTTTTTGCGGGAAGAAATGGGATTATTCATGATGAAATATTTTGTCTCCGCATATATTTTCTACCCGCTATCCTTACGTGAATAATCTCAACTTTTAAATTTCTACTTGCAGTCCTTATTAAACCGCCATACAAAATATGTTTCTGACGATGTTTTGTTGTTTTAAGACCTGGGCTTGTCGTAAGATAACATTATTAGCTAGGAAGTTATTTTTAAAGGAACATCTCCTTCAGAAATTACTATAAGATCATGATGGAGCAGTATCTGAGTTATATAAATATTTTGGGGATTTTTTTATGGGGTACATGGGAACTTGGAAAATCACAGTGTGCTTTGCCTTTTCCCCATTTTCACACAAGAGAAATCAAGTTAAAATGAACAAGGAGAGCTCCAGGAAGGGAAAAACAATTCTAAACGGTGCAGCATGTATGTGAGTGAAGGATGGGGCCTGGGGGAGGCGCTTTCTTTGTGCTGCTGCTGGGAGCTCTGGGCTGAGCTCGGGTGGAGGTGGGACACAAGCAATACTGAAGAAGCATCCAGAAGTCGCATACCTTTGCTTTTGAATCTCAGTAACTTATATTTTTACACTCAAGCTTTGGGTATTTTCCCCCACCCCCATGTGCATTCTGGTCGCCTGGACTCTGGATCCTCCGAGGTGCCCAAAGCATCCAGGCCAATGGCCACTCACCGTCTTCCTCGTAGAGGAGCCCCATGTGCCCCTGTGCCTCGGCTTCTTTCTTCCCACCGTCGATTTTGATCAGCTGAGCAATCTGAAAACATCGTTTGTAGAAGTGGTTCCTTACCCACTTGTCTTCAGAATTATTGAAGTAACAGGCCAGAGCATACAAGTTATTATAGACATCTTCAAAGTATTCTTCAAAGAGAGAGAAACATCATACACCGAGTTAGAAAGAGGTCTCATGACACATGCCTTCGAGTGGCAAACCAATGCAGTGACACTTATTTCCTATTTTTCCTTAAAAACACGAATAACTACTTTAAAATGCAAAATGCAGAAATTAATGTATATCAACTATCAAAATAGTTGCATTAATTAAAGAATGTGCACATGAAAAAAGCCACACACAAAAATCTTCCAAAAACTTAGCATATGTTAGAAATAAGACATACCCTTCGGTTGAAGCACCGGACTTTATATATAAGACAAAAGACAAAAACACCTACGGCCAACGTGCTCAGTGCTTTCAGAAGAGAAGAGTATGTGGCTATCATCAAGTGCTTTTCCCACTGAAGAATTTAAAAGTATTTAGAGGCAGAGAGAGCAATACCTCTGAACTACAGCAAAAACATGATGTAAGTGAAGGGAGCCGATAGAATGTGAAAATGGCAAGGGTTTCGCTCCCAAGAAAAACCGCTGTGAGGCGTGTGAGGAAGGATGGTGAGGATGACCCGATAAGCTCCGTACACCTTCCAGCAATGTTTCCAGCCATGTTAAGAAGGAGTGAATTTCCATGCTTTTGTTTTCTATGAGCACCTTTTTCTGCTGAAAATGCATGAATACTGTTCATTCCTCTCACTCAGACAGCCGTTAGTTTATTAGTTGCTAGTGTATTAAAGCTCCCTCTTTCCCCTGAAGTGGCGTCTGACCTATTTATACTTAAAAAAGTGTATTAATACATTGTGAATCAGTCTTATAAGTCCCACTGCCATCAATCATAAAGGTGAACCAAAACATCGTGTGTTAATAAGTGGTGTCTCAGTCCTGGAAACTCCACTTTATCGGTGAATGTGAACAGATTTGGAACCCTCGTGTCTTTCTGCACTTGTGCTGAAAGCACGGTTGTGAAGATGTGGTAGCCTCTGGATTACCTTCCCAAGGATCTTTTAAAGTAACAATCATTTTATTCACTGATATATTCCCTAAAGGATTACAATTATGAAAAATATTTATACATTGCCCACTAGCATTCCTATAAGATTAAAACTGAAATGCTTAGAAAAATGGAAACTAAGCTGACTAAAACAAAGGCAACTTTCAAGAACTGTACATAAGTCATGCCAATGTTTCCACAGAAATTTCTAAAACCTAAAATCATTTCTTTACATATATTGCTTCATAATTCCACAGGAAATTAGATTTATCTCAACATAGGTTTTATATGTAAAAATAAAGTAAAACAAAACAAGGTCCCCCTGTCAGCCTCCTTTTGAAGGAGCTGGGGTTCGGGGGAGCCATTCTGCAACAGCACGGGTGCAAAGTGGAGAATGACCCGAGTTATTGACTTCAAAAACCAATGCCCTCATCTCAGAACTGACTTCTCCTATCTTAATCTTTCCATTCTGAGTCTTCTACCTAATGTGAATAGAGCACTAAAGTCTGTTTTGTAATATTTTATATTCTTTGTCATATTTAGTGATTAGAGAGCTATTTTTAAAGCCTGTAAGTCAAATACTTCATATCTTCCATTTTAAAAAGTTATATAATGAGCTTTTAAAAAATATACACAATGCTAAAATAATTTTTATGTTTTTCAGTAATTAAACCTTAATAGAAAAACATTTCTAACATTTCATAAATGAAGTTTTGTTTTTGGTTTTTTAGAATGAGTTATATGAGCTATCAAGATAAATGGTGTTTTTCCTCCCAGAGAATTAAATATAAAGGAATATATCCAAGTTATTTAACTTTTTGTGCAATCCAAAAATATGTCCTGTATCTTTTACATTATAGGCAGCCTTCAGTCCCTCCTTGAGTCATCAACAGGTATATTTGTAAGATGAAAATCAATTTTATTGTTAGTTTATTATTTAGATCAGTATTTATTATGTTACCTAAAAAGGAGATTCCATGATAAAATAAATTTGGGAAATGCTCTTGCTAATTTCCCTCCTTCAGTGAACCACACAATACATTGGCATGTTAAAGGCCCTGATAAGTCCTGCAATAAACCAATCTGTGTAACATTAATGTTAATTCACATGGTGTTTCTCAAACGTATTTCACCAAATAAATATTTTTTCTTTTGCTTCACATAAAACCTATAAGCACCCTGTGGGACACTGCTTGAGTAGAATATACCTTGAGTATCTTAAGTAAATGTTATCAGAAAGAAGATTGCTGGTTAACCCTTGACAATAATTTAAAGTCAAGTGTGAATAATGCTTGAATTATCTATTGATTCAGTTGCTCATTACCATTATTGTCATCTCTTCTCTAGCCCCATGGGGCACAAGGCCCTAATCATAATGTTACAGATGGTACAGAGATTATTCACAACAATGGGTAATATAAGAAACACTATCAGGGACAAAGAAACACTTGAACAAATGGAAAATAAGCCAAAAAGCAATGACTGGCCTACTTTAAACACCTCTTTGCTATAAAACAGAAAAGGGTGTTTTGTAAAGTAATTTAAATAAGTCTAGGTTCTTGTTCTGTAAGTCTCAAGAGACAGAACTGACCTGAGATAACTGACTATTGTTAGTGCCATAGCTCTGATAAAATGAACTTCATGGTGATTCTAGAGTGAGGGTGTTTCCAATGAGAAGAAATGAGAATGCTCAGACCGATGCTGCTGCAGGATAATTGTCTCAGATTCCACAACCGTATACCATGGAATCTTGAGATACTATTAACAGGTTTCTATATACCAGACGAAGTGTGTGTGTGTGTGTGTGTGTGTGTTAAGATTTAGGGTTCCCCGGCCGGGCATGGCTCAGCGGTTGAGCATCGGGCTCTATCCTCAGTCGAGGGGGTGCAGAAGGCAGCCGATCAATGACTCTCTCATCATTGATGTTTTTATCTCTCTCTCTCTGCCTCTCCCTTCCTCTCTCTGAAATCAATAAAGATATATATATTTTAAAAAGATTTAGGATTAATTCAAGTTAATAAGAGTGATGATGTACATATTCCTATCCATTTCCTGGGACAGTCTTAATTCAAGTAACAATTTCTCCCCAACAAAGTTCATGTGTTAAATGTGGGGAAAAGTATATAAATTAAAACACACACACACACACACACAAATGTTTATATGTCTTTCAACTGAAGTATTTCCAATAGTATTTATTAGAATAATTTTAATTTTCTGTATTTCAAACAGGCAACAGACATTGCATTTTGAAGGAGATAACCATACAGAAGAATTATTTTGAGCAAGGGGTAATTTTTGTTCCATTTAACAAATGTAACCTTGGTTACCATGTATATATAATAGGCCACTCAGTAAAGAAAGTATTTCTTTTCATTACTTATATGACACATATAAAATATTGGCTATTATAAAATTTGGAATTTGTTAATTTTTGGAATTAGAGAAACATTTTTATGTATATGTATAGTCATTTTTCTTTAATAAAAGGTTATAAATGAAAATTTTTCTACCTTAAAATAGGCTATTTAGCATTTTAGTTTCTCTATAATTACAAAATGCTTTATGATAAGTTCTTTATATTGATGATACTTTGTGAACTGATGTGTTTGGCTCATGTTTATTCTACTCAAATGAAAGCCCCTATTTAAGCCTTTGGTGAATATGATGATTGAACTTGAGAAAAGGACCACTGGGCAGACTTTATCCTGATCAATTCTGCTTTCAGTGTAAATGTCACTTCAGAAATTGGGGCTGATACTAGTATGTAGGATTTTTATTTTTTTACAGTAGCATTTTTTATTTGTAATTTAATTTCTAGAGAAATTATATGTAAATCACATTTTAAAATTCACCAAATTTCTCTATTTTTAAAGTCAATTCTACAGTTAAATACTTTTCATAATACAAATAATCACTCCTATACACACACATACACACTGTAGTTCACTTTTAGTGGTGTTGTAAGGATTTCTGTACATCTCATATTTGTAAGTCAGGTCACAACCTAATGAGATGTATTGACTCTATCTACTAGAGAGGTTGAAAGACTTCTGCTACCTTCTGATGCTGTTTCCATGGCCCCATCAATTTTCCCCATGGTAGCAATAAGTAACAAAAAGTTGCCTAATATTTTCTCATAGAAAGGCCTGGAGGGAAATGTAGACATTGTCATGCTGGGGCCTGAACTTCTCTTTTTGAGTCCCATGGTATTTTCACACAGAAAGTTGAAGGAAAGAATAATTTAGAACACAAAATCTGTGTCAAAATCTAGGATTTCCTGTCTTTGGCTATATAAAATGACTAATCTCTAATATATAACTTATGACTAATCTCTAATAAATACTTATGACAGCAATATCAGTACTATAGTAGAGATTAAAATATTTTCTTCAATACTTGAAACATAGTGACTTTCTGGAAAATTTTAGGATACAAAAAAAAGGACTTTGTTAAAAATGATGTGATGACATACATAAAATTAGCAATTTTATTCATAATTGTGAATTACAGCTTTTCGTGTCTTCTCACTACTTACTAACAAAAAATCTGATTGAAACCTGTAGAACTTATTGATGAAACCTTCATGTTCCATTATATAAATACTAGAAAATCAGTATAATTTTCAAATTACAGTGCTCTTTGAAAGTATCTCCTCAGTGAAAGTCAATACTCAGATTATATATAAAGAAAAATTATGGAAAGATTTATAATGAATGATACAGAAGATCTGAAAACATTGGAAAGTGGGGATGTTGTGAGGGTTCCCCATCACTTATTCCATCAAGATGCTTAGTTGACTAGGTTAGGCTGTGCTAAGCTGTCTTAATGTCTCGAATTCATAGAGGAAACAATCTGGAACCTTCCCTCCGCTCACCTTTCCTTTCCGCCACCTCGGCCCTGGTCAGGTAGAAGTAGAAGTGGTCCAGCTTGTCGGGCTGCTCCTTCAGGGGTCTCTGCACCCAGAAGATGGACCTGCGCCTGGCGGCCTCCCTCAGGGCGTCCCACTTCTCCATGAGCGCGAAGAGCTCGGCGAAGGACTTGTGGAAGCCGTCGCGCAGCATGTCCACGCAGACGTTCTTCTCGTAGGCGTTCCGGTAGCTGGCAATGGGGGCAGAGGGAGCGCTTACTCTCACGCCTGAAACGCCTGCTGTGTTTTTATTCTGTGACAATGAAAGGCTGAATCAGGCTGCCTTTCTTCCCTGGGAGAGAGCACTGAAAACTTGTCTTTGCCTCAAACACTCACAATGGACCAACTTCAAGGAAAGAGAAAAGATGCCAGGAGCTAACTCGATTCGGTAGGTTTAATGAAATTACATGATAAATATATCAGTTCTAGGGCTGAGCTCCCTTTGGTAAGGACAAATAAACTAGCTGACTGATGCCTTAGTCGGTTCGAGCTGCTATAACAAAATACGACTGAGTAGCTTATTTAAAAAAGAAATGTATCACTCACAGTTCCCAGAGGCTAGAAGTTCAAGATCAAAGCGTCAGTGTGGTCGCCTTCTAGTGAGGGCCCTCTCCTGGTTCATGCTGGCACCTTCTAGCTGTGTTGTGTCCTCACATAGTGGGAGGGGCAGGGATCTCCCTGGAGCCTCTTTTATAAGGTACTAATCCCACTTATGAGCTAAGCACCTCCCAAAGGCCCCATTGATAACAATTTTGGGGATTAGGGTTCCACATATAAATATCGGGGGAAACAAACATTCAGATCATAGCAATTGATGATCCAAAACTACTTGACATGCTAGACTTTTACCAAAAAACAAAACAACCAATAAGCCAAGCAAAAATTAAATGTCACTTAATATTAAAGCAATGCTTTCGACAGTAAATGGTCTCCCTGTATGTTAAGGAGGTTCATTCATTCATCCACCCACTCATTCATTCATTCATTCATGCAGAATATATTTATTGAAATTTATTACTAAATATATCTTTAAATTATTTTAAGTTTGGGTTATAGTAAAGATTTGTTAGGTTAACACTTTACTACTTAGTCATAATTCATATACAAGGAGATAAAGTGACAAGTGACTATTCTACTTATTTATTCAAAGATAGATATTGAGTTTCCTGCTAAGCGCCAAGCACTATTCTAGACCAAATAAGTTCAGTGCCCTGGGGTACATTTGTATTCTCCTGGGAGTACACAACCAACAAATAAGTAAACAAATAATAAATAATTTCAGGTGATGAAAATTCCCATACAGGAAATAGACAGGGTTATGGGATAACAACAGTGTAATGGCCAGTATTCCACTAAACAAGGGTTTAGAGGCCAAATGATACAGCTTTATATTAAGAATTTTACATTCCAGAAAAATAGGAGACAATTAAAGTATTAAAACAACTGACTTGATGTGATACTACTTGCAATAAAAACTTCCGTGTAGAGTAGAAATAGCCTAGAATTAGTCAAAACACCCGAGGTCTGAGTCAGAACACCCAGTTCTATGAAATCTCCATGGACCTCGTGTCTTGTCTTCTGTGACATGTGTACATTGATGTGTGCCCTCCCTGCGTCACAGGAGTCTTCTAAGATCCAAGTGAAGTTATGGATGTGAAAGTGGGCTGGGAAACGCGAAGTCCTGCTCCACTGGTTCTCAACTCCTGGCCATGCCAAAGAATTACCCACAGAATTTAAAACAAACAAAACAAAAACGCCCAGGCCCCATCCGCCAAGGATTTCTTACTCAGTGGATCAGCTTAGGTGTAAAACAAAGTACGTAACGAGTGGCGAAGAGGAGAGTGGCGAAGGAGATAATTGTTTTAAAAAGGCAGGACCCAGATCAGGAAGAGGCCTTCAAGTCCTGGTGAGCAGCTGGGACTCCACGCGGGGGTGAGGCGGAGCCGTGGGAGGGGCTGAGTCAGGGAAATGACTGGATGACACTGCACTTTAGAAAATTCCGCTGGGAGGGTGTCCCAGCTGAACTGCAGCCCTCCCCCACCCGCCGCCCAGGCCGGGCGCCTGCTTTTACAGGGCTGGTCCGTCAAGGAAATAAGGCAAGCGCGTTCCTAGGCCAAGAGCCCCAAAGCTGCCATCTCGTATGGAGCAAACAAAAATATTTGAAATGGGGAAGAGAGAAGAAATAACATATTTGAGTCTCTGCCCTCCAGTGGAGATAGAGTGTGGAGAGGAGTCAGTGGGAGGCTGTGACACCGGGGG